CACAAGCAGGTGTCCTTGTCGCACGTGTAGGAGGCCGAGAGGGACCTGGCCGGGAGTTGAGGGAGGGAGGTTGTTTTGTTTGGTAGCTTTGCCAAGGTCACTTCCGTTTACCTTCATGGTGCTGATGCCCCCTCCTGGGGCAACTTGGAGAGAAGGGGAAAGGGGCTGGTTCAAGGGGAGTACCTGCCCCAGGACTTCGCAAAGGGGCTCAGCTCACATCTATTCTATCTTACTGCCTTTTCAAGGGGAACCCTGTTTTTAATTTATATGTAGTTTTCTTAATTTTTAACTGTTGCATTTTGGCAACAAAATTTACCTTTGCTTTGGGGGCTTTACAGTCCTAAGGTTGGCATTATAACGACGTGCCACTTGGTTCAGGTTTCCTTGAGCCGTGTGGTCTAAATTGGGAAAATAGTTTCCTATTCTTGTGTCTTTAAAAATAATGTGAACAGTGAAAGTTTGGGTGGTTGTGACTGGGAAGTTGTCCCGTGTGTTTTTTCAGCTCGTTTCTCCTCCCACTGCTTAAAGTGTCCAAGATGCTTTAAGGTGAGCTGCTTGTCCCTGATCATGGTTCCTAAGTTAGGGGGAACCCCATGTCATACCAAGGAGGGGGAGTAGGGAGCATAGTGTGGTTAGTGCCTCCCAAAAGTGACAAGGTTAGGAAGTGTTTAGAGATTTTGTGTCCATCCTATCCTAGCTTTGTTTAGCAAGCTTCAGTTTCTGTTCTGTCTTACCTGTAATTATTCTCATTCTTAACAGTGCGAGCTTTACTTGAGTTAAGTTAGGGGTGGCATTACAGTGTCCGGCTGGAATAAATATTCGGAACAGTGAGAACCTGAGGGATGGTGATTGGTTGAATCTGAATTCTAGATTGTTAAGATGGCAGCTTAGTGCCAAAGGAGTGAGTGGGTGGTTCTTAATAGGCTTCAGTGATCCCACTTTTGGAAAAAAAGAAACTTGTGTTATAATTTTGATAAAAGTAAACCTACTCCCTTCTTCAGTAAGTACTTAGTGATTGTGCTGAAGGGGGCTCCTTTTTAAATTCAAGGACTAAAATGGATATACCTCCTGTAATTAAGTAAATTTCCAACGCTTCTCTTATCTGCTCCACCCCCTCCCACCTCTTTTATCATGTTAAACAGTCTTTTTGCTTTTCTTATTCCTCCTCTCCTGGAGAGCTGTGATTAGAAACCACACCCACCCTTGAATGAGGTGCTTAAAGGAGGCAGGTGGGGGAGGGGAGGTTGGCTGGCTACCTGTGAACAAACACTGGCAGCGGTGGGGGAAAATAAGTGCCCCTGGACTTTGGACTAGTTTACAGCCAGATGTTCCAAAAGCAGCAAGACACTACTCGGCAGTCTCCGAAAATAAGTGAGACCCATAACACACTTGCATAAGGTTTTAAAGTAGGGATCAGTGTAGCAATAGGAAAGGTGTCCCTACCCCTACCACACTTGAATACATTTTTTTCCTCCTCTTCTGAGAAAGCCTATATATGTTGATGAGCACACACTCACACACTTTACTGTTAGAGTTCTGTTTGCTTTTCTAATCTGTTTAACCATTTCCTCATTCATCTATGAAAGCCTGTGTATTGATGAATACACACATACAAACCCCCACACCCGCCCCCCCCCATACACTTCACTATTAAAAATTCTGTTTGCTTTCCTAATCTGTTTAGCTATTCATTCATGAAGAGTGTGAGGCCATTACTGGGGAAGTGGGTGACGGTGCATTGGCCAGCAAAATACCAATGACCAGAATGGAGTGGGGACTAAATTTAAGAAGCTAAAATGGCAAAAGCAATTACAATTTGAGAATGCCTCCCTTAGAAAACAAGTCTAGGGATTTGCCCTTCTTTTATACCAAAGTTGGAAAAGTAAGATTTAGCCCAAGTCAGTTTTTACTTTATGGTTATGAAAAACAAGTGTATGGTTTTCATAGTGGATTTAAGCACTTTGCTGGTGGGAAGAAGCCTGGTGTTATAGTTTTAATGGACTCTCAAAAGCTGTTCACATTTATAAAAATTCACTGCCCTTATGCACTCATCCTGTGAATCAAAATTCAAATGTCATTAGATTTAACAAAACCTAGTACACAGAGCTACAGAACTTTTTTTAACATCTAATTCCTCTGCTTATTCAGAAGCTTCGTAGCACCTTGAAATAGATCCCCTGCCTGTGGGCCAATTCCTCTCCTAGTTTTCAAACGAGGACCTTTTCTGATCACCTTGACCTCCTCCCTCATTTAACTTGTCTTCCCAGAAAATACATAGGTTATTCTGCTGCCTTTGGTCATTATGCTTAATTTGGGTTCTCGTGCTTTCTGCTTTTTTCTTTGTGGAGGAATCTAAAGATGATGCTGAATGTATCTGAAAGTTGTGGGATGAAGTGGGCGAAGTGATTTAATTCCCCCTATAAAAACTTAATTTTTTTGTTTTGGCAACATGCCAAACCTAAAAAGACCCATTTACTTAAAAAAAAAATAAGACAGTTAAGACAAAGGCTACTAAGCCAAGGAGAAGCAGTACAGGTCATGCATTTGGGGTCTAGTTCCAGACCAACTTTCAGAGGTGCCTCTCCTTTTCAGTCTCTGTTCTCACCCTTGCTCTCCCTCTCCCTTCCGTCAAAGATAGAGCCCACCTGCTTCCTTGCAGTCCTATCAAGGAAGATCTGCCCCACCCGCTACCCAGGGCAGAGAGGTCAGATCTACTTATGCTCAGCCCCTACTTCCATCCCACACGCTGTTTTCTCCTGATTTGCATTTTTATTAGGCAAATGATCCATTCTCATGAAAATTATAAAATGAAAGGTCGTGGGTGGTTTAGCAACTTCTTCACAGCCAGCTTTGTGATTTTGGAGAGGATTTAGGGCCCAGTTTAGTCTCACATGTACAGTGTCCAGGCTTTCCCTTTCACAGTTCAGTTTTAAGCAACATCTCCCTCATATATCAGGTGTTAAAGATTTAGAAGAAACTAATATGTGACCACTCAGTGAATCAGTTGACCAGACTTTAGGTAGTCTTTTTAATTTATATTTCCCTCCTCACATTTTGAAGTTGTCTAAATTGGCTGAAAATAAGTTTTCTTGTTGCCTTATTGGTTTATCCTCGCAAACCTTTGTCATTGTTTCTTTCACGTGATCATTTCCAGTGATGAACCTGTGTGTGTGTGTTGTGTGCAATTTGTGCGCATGTACAAGCTTAAATAATGTGCTGACAGCACTGTTTCCAAGCTGGTGTTCATTAGGCCGTTTCCTCCTGGGCCAGGGCTGCACTGATCCTGACACCAGCTGGCAGGAGAATACCTCCTGGATCCCACATGGAACCTTAATAACAGCATCCATGACCTGCACTCCCAAGTACAGAATGGGAACCCCAGAGCTAGGAAACGTAGTTGTGTATTTTAAAGGACTACTTCTCCTGCTAAACAGGCTTCTTTCACTTCTGTGCTCTACGGAAAGACCGAGGGAGGTAGGAGAGACAAAGCTTTGAATAACTGCTTTCTAACACCGAATGTGGCAAACAGGACAGAGAACATCACAAATCTAGGCAGGTGTGAGGTACAGTGGCTGAGGATTGCCTGCTCCCCCTGCATGCCCTTTCTTGCCTCCAAAGTCCAGTCAAGTGATCCCGGGAAAGAAATATGCCTGGGTTATAAGGAGGGTGGTTCTGAAAGAAAAAGCTACCAAGACATCAAAGCTGGTTGAAGGGTAGGCAGGATGAAAGTAACTAAGTAACCGGACTCAACTCTCAAAATCTTCTAGCAGCTTGATGACAATTATAGGATTTATCTCAGCCAGGATAATGTCTGTGGTACGTCATTTGAAGACAATATTACTTCATGTTGTTACAAACTATATGTATAGTATGTATGTGTTGTGGGTATGTATATAAATAATATATACTATATATATGAGAGATTTAGTGACTTTTGATACGGGTTTGGTGCAGGTGAATTTATTACTGAGCCAAATGAGGCACATACCGAGTCAGTAGTTCAAGTCCAGGGCATTCAGTACTTTTTATGATTTCCATATATGTATAGTGCCTATCCCATGCAGTGTCGTCAGTGTCATTGTCAAATCCAGAACTCATAAATAAGAGCCAGCGATACTTTATTTGTAGACAATCAACTTGAATCTGTAAATTATTACTAGCAGATGATTATAATTTTGAATTCCTAACACTAACAAAAGGAAATCCAGAGCATCCTGATAACAAGTTTTTTGTTTTCACTTGGATCCTGGGTCAGTAGAATAGTAATTGTATGTGGTTATGTTAGTCTCAAAATACTTAATTTACTGACCATATTATTTCAGAAAAATTTTGTATGTATTATATTTGTGGGAAGGTAAAATAATGGTTTGAGATTTTTATCAAATATGGAGAGTAGTTATTTATGAAAAACAAAGAAATGTCTATTTTTGTTTCTTTGTTCCCAATTAATGTAGATAAATTTTAAAGTGCATTAAAGCAATGGTAAAGAAAATAAAAAGATGCTGTACACGTATTTTTCTCCTCGTGCTTTTACGGAGAGATGCACTGCTTTCTAAGAGTATCTGAAGAACATATGTGGATTCTAATTTCATGATCATATTTCTCAGATGTACTTAAAATATAAGTGGCAATGTTTTTACTAATAATAAAAACAAGCAAATTCCAATCACCAGAAGCAGAA